GTCTGTTCCACAAAGCAGCATATTTTGGTGATCTGGACACAGCGGAGGCGTTGCTGTTACATAACAAAAATGTCGTAGACAGCAGAGACAGGAAGAACAGGTAACAGTGGCAGGACGGGGCGGGGGCAGGCCTGGGAGGAGCTGCCAACTATGGTTTTAAGATATGAATTTTAAATTGCCTTCCCATGTCAGAGATGTTGAAGAGTGGGAAAATGAGCATGTTAGAATCATTGAAGTACAGTGTTCTCTCTCATCCTTGCAGCAGCAAAGTAGATACGTTATCATTTTACTTAATTGAAATGTTGTTTTTGTAAAATAGTAACGGTAACAGTTACAACATTATCTAACAATTATCGAGCTGTTATTTTGTGCAAGGAACTGCCAGACACTTTGCATAGCTTTTCATTTAAGCATCACAGCGGCGTCCTGTAAGATAACTACTACTTCATGCCCATTTTGTTGATGAGGAAATTGAGGCACAGACAGGCTAAGTGAGAGCTAATAAGGGACAGTGTTAAAGTAGAAGTCAGACCCAAGGTGAGCTGAATCTCAATGGCATGTCCTTTCTATTCAAACAAGTAGTTCTTCCATTAATGTGGTGAATAATAAGAGCTAATAAATATTGTTCTTTCCCCGTAGAAAGAACTGAGATAAGAAGACTAAATGTTAGTTTTAAAGGGGTAGGAAAAGCATGCTGTTGAATGTTTACAATTACGTGAGTAATTGTGTCTTTGAACTAGTACGCTCTACTTTCCTAAAAAGTCCTCATGTTCGCAGGACTGCCCTGCACTTGGCCTGCACCACCGGCCAGTCAGCAGTGGTGAGTCTCCTCATACACTGGGATTGTGACCTGAATGCTCGTGACGAGGAAAGCAAGACAGCTCTCATGAAGGTGTGTAGCAGCCAACCATGTCCACGTGAGATGGATTCGATGTACTTACTTAGAATAAAAATGAATTTATCTGTTTTAAATATAACGAACTAATGGAACTTGAGGAATGTTAACTTGGAATGCCTAGCACTTACAGTCTGTTTCTTGGCGTGATACCAACAGGCTGTACAATGCCAGAAAGAAGTATGTGTCACCGTCCTGCTGGAATACAAAGCTGACCCAAATCTTGAGGACAACTGTCAAAACACTGCTCTCCATTACGCCGTCTTGGCTGGAGATACGTCAATTGCAGCAAAGCTGCTCCGCTATAATGCAAATATCGAGGCGATAGACAAGGTATAGCTCAACTGACTTTATTTACAAGTTATTTGAAATACAGGGTCTTTTCTAGCTACAGGTGTTTTATTTATAGTAATATGTATACTGAATACAACACATCAAGCCCTGTTATCATGGAAACAACTCCAAAGCCAAGGCCAGGGGCTAGAGGTAGTGCCCACAGAAAGGGCAGAGCTCTGTCTCCCAGCCGCACTTCTCCCCCAGAAGGAACAACTTCCCATTAGGAAGTGCCTGGGAGTGGGTGGTAGGCTCAGAGCCTGCAGAAGATGAAGGCTTGCGGGGAGTGAAGTGATGGCAAGGGCTGGCTGCCTGCCTGGGGATGGGTGGGAGGAGAAAGGAACCCAGTACCCAGCAGGGGGAGCTGAGTGACTGCACCTGGGCAGGGGAGGCAGCAAGCCACAGGCCCTGAGCACCCCAGGATCCCAGGTTCTAGAATCTGGGCAAGTGAGGTCAGGTCGTGGGGCATTCGCTTTTGTGCTGGTGGCCACATGGCCCTCCATGTACACCTTCACCTTGGGGTCTTCCATGCTCAGCCTGGTGTAGCTCCCCTGCGGGGCTGTGGCTGTGGCTGTAAGTGGGGAGCAAGTGATGGCGAAGCTGGTCCTCCTGCTTTTTCTCCTGGTTCTCCCCTGAAGATTTGGATTGAATAAAGGTACTCAGGTCTAGACACAGTATTTAGAAATACTTCCCTGAGATTCTGATACAACCCTTGGTTAAGGACTATTGAATGGATACATGGAATACATGTAAATTCACAGATCTCAAAAATAAGACATTTCTGGAAGAGC